AAACAGTTCCTCAAAATGTTAGGCACAGTTATCGTATGACCCAGCAATTCCACTACCAGGCATACACACAAATGAACTGAAAACTTAAATCTACACAAAAGCTTCTACACAAATGTTCACAGCAGCATTATTCATAATTGCGAGAAAGTGAAAGCAACCCAAATGTCCATCAACAGACAGACAAATAAAATGTGGTATATCCATATAGTGGAATGTTTGGCAATAATATGAAATGCATGATGATACGCAAAGATAGATAAACCTTGAAAACATGCTACTGAAAGAAGTCAGACACAAAAGACCGCATGTCGTATGATCCCACTCACATAAAATGTCTAGAATAAGCAAATCTATAGAGACAGAAAGTAGATGAGCGGTTGCTTAAGGCTGAGGGGTTTGGAAAAAATGGGGAGTGACTGCTAATAGGTGCAAGGTTTTTTTTGTGATGGAAATGTTACAGATTAGACAGCGGTGATAGCTGCACATCTGTGAACACATTAAAACCATTGAACTGTACACTTTAAATGGGTGAGTCCTGACGGGCACGGTGGCTCACGCCTGTAATCCCAGCACTTTGGGAGGCCGAGGTGGGTGGATCACGAGGTCAGGAAATCGAGACCATCCTGGCTAACATGGCGAAACTCCATCTCGACTAAAAACACAAAAAAATTAGCTGGGTATGGTGGCTGGCGCCTGTAGTTCCAGCTACTTGGGAAGCTGAGGCAGGAGAATGGAGTGAACCTGGGAGGTGGAGCTTGCAGTGAGCCGAGATGGCACCACTGCACTCCAGCCTGGGTGACAGAGTGAGACTCCGTTTCAAAAATAAATAAATAAATGGGTGAGTCCTATGGTATGTGAATTACATCTTGATAAAGCTATTAAAATATATTGTGTATTATCTTTAAATAATTATAGCTTTCAACCATCAAATGATATGTCTTATCAAGATGAAGTATGGATATGTTGTCACCCCAACAGCTACATTCCACGTAGTTCACAAAGTTCTGTCGCAGCCCCCAGTCCCCATGACCAAGAGTCTTCCCCAGGCCTTTTCTTCCCGGAGAAGATACTCTTTCTTCCTAGAATCACAAGTGGAGCTGGTTTCAACTGGGGCTGCTTCTGTGACAAGAAAGAATGGGCCAACACTCAAAGAAAAGCAGAATGAGAGAGGGAGTGGGGCAGTGGGATAAGCAGGGAGAGGGAAAGAGGAAGTGGAGAAAGGAGCAGACACAGAGAGGAAGAGCACTGTATTTATTATTGGGGCATTTGCATCCAGCCATGCTGGCTAGTTTAAAGTGGGTTTCTGTAATTTGCTTTTAGGGGAGTCTTAATATGTTATTTCACAACAAACTCTTTCCTCATTTAACGGATGAACTTTCTAAGGATCTATACACAAGTAAAACTAAATCCTGGGCCATTTTTGTTTAATAACAAGACATATGAAACATTGGAAAGAGCACATATAGCTCAGTGGTTAAATGAAGTCAGACAGATTTAGATTCAAATGTGAGTCCTAGGCTTACCTAAGTGACCTTGGTAACACTATTTAACTTCCCCAAACCTTAGTTGCCTCTTCTGTAAAATGGGAGCCCTGGGTTTGGTTTCCTTACAGACAGGCCACTGTCCGGATTAAATGAGATAACCCATGGCAGGGTGTCGGTACAGTACCTGGCATATGAAAACACAAATATATGACCCACCATTATTAGTGGTAAACTCATGATTTATCACAGATATATTTAGAGCATAGAAAAGTTTTGATTTAAAGCAAAGAGAGTATGAATAAGACTAGTAGGTAAGACCTGGAGAAAGCTGTATCACGCTTCACAAAAAATATTTTTCATTCATTTGGAGAGCATTATTTTTAAGATATGTTAGAAACTAAACCTAGCAATGGTAAACACAACAGCCAGAACCAAAAATGCTAATTCATAAAAATCAATTCCGGTTCATAGCTAACCTTGTCAAATACATACCTTAGTCAGAGTTACTTCTTCTTAGCCTTCAGTCTGCAATCACTTTTGAAAACCACTCCCCACTTGCAAACAGACAGCTTTAGATGATTATTTAGATTGCTAAGCTTTCTGTTCTTCTATGACACTGAATATTAATGCATCCACATGAGAGAATTACCTCCATTCATCTACTGCCTGTAGATATCACTAACTTGACTCAGACATAAGTTCTCCCCAAAAGTGACCCTGTGATCACCCAGCTGAGTTTATTCATTCATTCAACAAAGATTTAGTGAGACCCTACTATGTGCCAGGTACTGTACTAGGTACTAGAGATGCAGAGAATAAAATAGGTACCTCTTCTCTCTGTTCTCATGAGGACCTGTTGCCTCCTCATCAGAACATTAACCACACTGATTTCTGATTTCCTAATTACTTCTCTGTAACCCCTACAGAGACTCTAAGCAAACCTGAGGTCAGGGACCATAGCAAATCTGATTTTCATTGTATCACATTATTTTGAATAATAAGTCATGGAAAAAAATGAAATAGAATGAGTTGTCTGCACAGTATAGCCACAGTATAGCTATTCACATGGTCAAAGACTCATGCAGAGCAAACTCTGAAGTGTGTAGAGACACATAGGCTTTACAGGTCACTGAGACTCCCATCAGTGCCAAATATAGTCTGCCACTCATGTCCTGGCTACATCTAGAGCTTGATCCAAATTATATGATACAGATATAAAACTATATGATACAGATATAAAATTATATGATACAGATATAAAATATTACATTTATTTTTATAAATACATATATTAGATTATCTTTTCACTGAAAATATGTCTATATAAGGTAAAGAAGAATAAAACTGCACATAGATTAGCTAATATAGAATTTCTTAGGTGAAACCCACCAATTCCAGAAAAAGCATGAACTACTACAACTCACCCAATATGAATTTAAATAGCCCTATAATTAACTGTTAAGAAAACTGAATTTGTAATTGAAAATCTCATGGAAAAAAAATCTCTAGGCCAGCCAGGCACAGTGGCTCACGCCTGTAATCCCAGAACTTTGGGAGGCTGAAGCAGGTGGATCACTGAGGTCCGGAGTTCGAGACCAACCTGACCAACATGGTGAAACCCCATCTCTACTCAAAATACAAAAAAATTAGCCAGGCGTGATGACACACACCTGTAATCCCAGCTACTGAGGCTGAGGCAGGAGAATCACTTGAACCTGCGAGGCAGAGGTTGCAGTGAGCCAAAGTTGTGCCACTGCACTCCAGCCTGGGCAACAAGAGCAAAACTCCATCTAAAAGAAAGAAAGAAAAAGAAGAAAGAAAAGAAGGAAAAGAAGGAAAAGAAGGAAGGAAGGAAGGAAGGAAGGAAGGAAGGAAGGAAGGAAGGAAGGAAGGAGGAAGGAAGGAAGAAGAAAGGAAGAAGGAAAGAAAGAAGGAAGAAAGGAAGAAGGAAAGAAGAAGAAAGGAAGGAAGAAAGAAAGAAGGGAGGGAGGGAGGGAGGGAGGGAAGGAAGGAAGGAAGGAAGGAAGGGAAGGGAGGGAGGAGGGAGGGAGGGAGGAGGGAGGGAGGGAAAGGAAAGAAATATCTAGGACCAGATGGTTTTACTGGAGAATTCTATTTAAAAAATAATTAACACTCATTGTATACAATCCCTCCCAGGAAACAGAAGAGGAAGGAATACATCTCACTTCAATAAAGGGAGTGTTCTAGACTTAAGAAGACTAAAGAGACATGAGAACTAAATGCAACCTGTAATTCCAAACTAGATCCTGTTGCTAAACAGAATTTGATGAGATAACTGGTAAAACTTGAATAAAGTCAAAGATGTGATTATGGAAATGTATTAATTTTCTCATTTTGATGGTCATTTTAATATTACACAGAAGAATGTCCTTTTTTTAGGAAAATACCACAAAATATTCGGAAGCGATGGGTCATCAAGTCAGCAACTTACTCTCAAATGGTTCAGGAAAAAAAAATGTTCTCTGAAATGTACTCATAACCTTCCTGTAAATTTAATATTGTTTTAAAACAAAAAAATTATTTCTTAAAAATATAGAAGGCTATCTTTATGATCTCAGGATATAGAAGAATTTCCTAAACTAGGTATAAAAATATTGTAAATCATGAATGTTATAAATTCAGTAACATGAACATTAAGAATTTTATAAATGGAACATTATTCAGCTTTTCAAAAGGAAAGAAATTCTGGCTTTTATAAGTCACATAACATATATCATATGTGACAACATGGATGAACCCTGAAGACATATGCTAACTCAAATATGCCACTCACAAAAAGACAAACACTGTGAAATTCCACTTATATGAGGTATCTAGAACAGTCAAATTCATAGAAACAAAAGGCCAGGCTGGGCCTGGGGGAAAATAGGGATTTGTTTAATTAATATACTGTTTCAGTTCTGTAAGATGAAAAAGTCCTGGAGATCTACTACCCAACATTGTTAGTACACTTATCACTACTGAACTACACACTTAAAGATGGTGAAGACGGCAAATTTCATGTTTATTACCACATACATATATTCATTTATTGACAACACTATGAAGAAAGGAAGGAAATAACACAATATTGCAGAAGTCACTCCTCTCTGGGATGGGATCTAAAAAGGGCACACAGGGAACTTAAAAAAAATTTCCTTAAGTTTGAGTGCAAGTGGCTTTCATCATCCTCCAAAGGGATACCTCTTGCAAATCTAATTTTTAAAATCAACTCCCCAGGAAAGGGAAGATGTACCAGTACAAAAAGCTCTAAAAATAAATAAAGAACTAAAGGAGAGGGAAGAGAAAAGGAAAGAACCAGGAATTCTCCCAATATTATTAACTTTAAAGTATATTTTCTAAATAATAAAGGATCAATTTCTGTACGACAACTTAGTTATAAGTAGTACTGAGTAGTACTGATCAAATTAGATGGAACTTTATATAACTACCAAATATCTTTTTAAAATATGGAGCCAAATAATATCAAACCCTCAGCCTCCCTATATTACTCACCGAAACAGGAGGAGTCAGACAGGACAGCGGCAGTCCTCAGTGGTCTGACCAAGGGGAAGCAGAAAGAGGTGCTGAGGGCCAGCGTTCTGCCTGGAGAAAAATGGAAGCTGGCGGCTACACAGAATACAGCTTGTTCAGAGGCCTCCCACTCCTGACTGGTTTCCCTCTAAGAAAAAAAAAAAAAAAAAAAGGTAAGGCTCAAAAATATATGCACATAGTTCCTAGGGGGAAAAAATAAATGTCTAATTCTTCTCCTCAGTAGCTTTAAGACATGCAAATCAAATTCTGAATTTTCTACTGTTCAACTGGCTGTATCAGCTGGGACTCAGGTCAGATACAGACGGGTCACAGATGCTGACTGAAAATCACCTATATTTTACTCTTATTTTTATTCACAATGCTTTCAGGAAAAAAACAAGTTTGATTTAAATTTTTCTCATTCTATTCAAATCACCATAGGCTCTTTATCAAATGAAATTCTTACTGTGAAAAATACAATGGAATCCTTTAAAGATAAAATGTGCAACCTCCAAATAGAATCTTAAGTCCTGCCCCATACCCTGAACTCCAGACTCACATTTTCAATGGTCTCCATATTTCTACTTCAAAGTCTAGCAAGCCTCTGAAACTTAACACAGTCAAAAGGAAAATCTTTCATATTCACCCTTTCTCATATTCTAACAGCCACTTCTCTTCCAGGCAGGCACAAGAGGCTGTCACACTTACCTTTCACTGAGCCGTTAGCATTTAAACTGTCCATGGATGGCAAAGCTAAAAGAGTACTGACTGTAACACTCCTTCTAGGGCCGCATGGTCCACACAGAGTTCTGCTCCTGCCAGCGCCGAAAAGCACTCAACCTGGCTCCCGCACCCGCTTACCTGCGTGTTCCCTCCCACAGGGGGTTGAGCACACGGGGTTCCAGTAAGTGGGGTCTGCACCTGCCAGCGCCTAAGTGGCTGGTTACTTTTGGCACCCACATCCCAGTTCCTGCCAGCAAAGGGGTCAGGGAAATTATCTTGCTTCACTACCTCAGCCAGGTGACCAAATTAACATCAACAATAACCAGTCACACTGAAAGCACACACCTAGGAAAGGGGACTGTGCCCCTCTGCAAGCCAGGAAGAGAGTCCTCACTGGAACCCAACCCTGCTGACACCCAGATCTCAGACTTCCAGTCTCCGGATCTGTGAAAAAATAAATTTCTGTTGTTTAATCCATGCAGTCTGTGGTATTTTATTATGGCAGCTAACTAATACAGACCTTAAGCAAAAACTAAAGAAATCAATCAAGTAAAGAATTTAGTCAATAATAATGTACCAATACTGTTTCACTGGTTGTGACAAATGACAATACTAATGTAACACGTTAACAACAGGAAAAACTGGATGTAAGTTATTTGGGAAGTCTCTATTATTTTCACAACTTTCTGTAAATTTAAAACTATTCTAAAATACAAAATGTATTTCTAAAAATCCGATAGCTTCCTATCATATTTTTATTATAACCAAAGGCCTCCCAATCTCTTTCACTAATCATCTAACATTTATACCTTGCTCACTCTGGTCTACTATGTTCACCTTTACAAGGGATACAAAGTATGAGTTACACAAGTGTACACATTTGTCAAAATTGATCAAACTGCACACTTAAGATCTATGCATTTCACCACATATGTTATACTTAAATTACAATTGTTTTAAAATACATGATTGCAAAATGAATAATCTGATGGCCTAAAAAGAACCCTTGAATTTGGTGGCTGCAAACATTAACATTTCTTTTGCTCTGGAATCTGCAATTTGGCATGGTTCAGCATGGATACCTCATTGCTTCTCTATCTGCCATCAGCCAGGGACTGGTATTATCTAAAGGCTCACTCACTCACATGTCAGATGGTGTATGCCGGCTGTCACCTAAGACTTTAGCTGGGCCTGCAGGTTCGAACACCTATACAAGGCATCTTTATATGCCCTGAGCTTCCTCACAATATGGTGGCTGTATTACAACAACTTTATATTCAGTGTGACTCCAATTTTGTTTCAATACACACATGCATTCTAAAAAAAATTAACAAAAGTTTTCTCTGGAGTGAAGGACAATGAGTGATTTTTTAAACTTTCAGTTACACATTTTTATTTTATAAATTTTATACAATAAAACGTATTGCCTTCTAAACCAGAGGAAAAAAATTCAGTTCCCTATTAGGGTAAGTAACACATTAGTGAAAACACAAATGAAATTGGAAATGCAAAAGTGTCAAATATATTTACATGTTATAAAAAAAGAATCCGCTCACAAACAGCGAACATATTATGAAATACTTCATTCCACCTTACTTTTTTACCCCCCGAGATGGAGTTTCGCTCTTATTGCCCAGGCTGGAGTGCAATGGCGTGATCTTAGCTCACTGCAACCTCCGCCTCCTGGGTTCAGGCGATTCTCCTGCCTCAGCCTTCTGAGTAGCTGGGATTACAGGTGTGCATCACCACACCCGGCTAATTCTTGCATTTTTAGTACAGATAGGGTTTCACCATGTCAATCAGGCTGGTCTGGAACGCCTGACCTCAGGTGATCCACCTGCCCCAGCCTCCCAAAGTGCTGGGATTACAGGCGTGAGCCACTGCACCCAGTCCACCTTACTTTTTAAGTTACAGATGAACTGAACATCAGCACATCAGAAACTAATAAAAAATACAAATACGTTCAATGATATCTGGTGTCTTCTAAATTACATATCTGGCCCTTTTCATGGCACAGGTCTCCCTTAGGTCCAATTCCTTCCTCAAAACCTTCTCTCCATATATTCCTTTAATCATAACCACCTACTAAACATTACCCTAGAAATAAAATCATTTGGAAAGCAAGGCCTACAAAAGCAAGCCTCAGATGCTAGATACTTCCTATCTTACAGCATGGTGTAACCTCACTTAATAATAGATTCTATATTTTTATTAAGATTTAAGGCCTACTGAACAAATACTATGGCTACCTCAAGGTCACTCTGGACTTCTCAGTAATGATTAAACAATCCAGGAGCCTACAGCAAGATCTTTTGCTCCTTTTCCTTCCTTGGCTTCAGCCTTACTGCAAAACATGCCCTTCCTTTCCACTATCTGGCCCTGCAAGGCATATTCTTACATTCCATACCGATCAACAATTTCTATCGCCTCATAAATTCTACACTTACTCTAGTAAAAAGTTAACTGTTTTGCTTACACTAAAGTTCTTTTCTTCATCTGACATCAAATAACTACTTTTATAATTTCCTAATTTTTCAAAACACTGTTAATTTGCTCATACCAAATTAACATACTGGTAAGTTATATTTTTGCACTTTTCATTTCCTGATGTGTCTTTTTTCTGTTGATTCACACTATCTGATTACAACAAATTCATAAGCTTTCTCTCAACCTGGACTATTTACATTATAAAAATGTTCTATGTTCTATAAAATGCTCAACTTTAAAATGATAGCTAAATGATTTTATTTATCCAATTTTACAATATGAGTTTTTAGTTATTCCAAGAACTTCATTGACTAGAAAGTCAATTCTTAGGTGCTTCAAAGAAACAATGTATTATCAGTATGAAAAGTTAAGGCTTGTGTGGTATTAATCAAATATTCCCAAGACTTGCCCAAATAGAAAACAACTGTAAATATACTCATATGTTGCTTAATGATAGGGATACATTCTTAAAAATGCATCATTAGGCAATTCCGTTTCTGTGTAGACATCACAGTATACTTAACAAATCTAGACAATCTAGCCTTCTACACACACAGGCTAGATGGTACAGTCTATTATTCCTAGGTTACAGACCTATACAGCAACTTACTGTACTGAATACCGTAGTAACCAACACAATACTATGTGTGTATCTAAACACAAAAAAGGTACAGTAAAAATACAGCATAAAAGATAAAAAATGGCATACCTATACAGGGCACTCACCATGAATGAAGACTGCAGGACTGAAAGATGTTCTGAGTGAGTGAATGTTAAGATCTAAGGCATTACTGTACACTACTATAGACTTTATAAATATTCTACATTTAGGCTACACAGAATTTATTTTTAAAAAGTTCTTCTTTCTTCGATAATAAATTAACCTTGGCTTACTGTAACTTTTTTACTTTATAAACTTTTTAAGTCTTCTGTAATTGCACTTAGCTTGAGACACATATTGTACAGCTGTACAAAAATATTCTTTCTTTATACCCTAATTCTATAAGCTCTTTTCTATTTACTTTTAATTTTAAAACTTTTTGTCAAAAACTAAGACCAAACAGGCCAGGCGTGGTGGCTCACGCCTGTAATCCCAGCACTTTTGGAGGCCAAGGCAGACAGACTGCCTGAGGTCAGGAGTTTGAGACCAGTCTGGCCAACATGGTGAAATCCCATCTCTACTAGAAATACAAAAAAAAATAGCCAGGTGTGGTGGTGTGCACCTGTAATCCCAGCTACTCAGAAGGCCTAGGCAGGGGAGTTGCTTGAACCAGGGAGATGGAGGTTGCAGTGAGCCAAGATCATGCCACTGCACTCCAGCCCGGGCAACAGAGTGAGACTCCTGTCTTAAAAAAAAAAAAAAACCTAAGACACAAACACGTCCATTAGCCTAGGCCTACACAGGGTCCAGATCATTTATATCACTGTCTTCCACCTCCAATCTTGTCCCACTGAAAGGCTTTCAGGGGCTATAACATGCTGTCATCTGCTATTATGACAGTGCCATATTCTGGAATATTTCCTGAAGGACCTGCCTCAGGCTGTTCTATAGTTAACTTTTCTTTTTAGTCAACGGGAGCATACTCTAAAACAATGATAAAATGTATAGAAACTACATAAACCAGTAATGTATTTAACATTATCAAGTATTATGTACTGTACATAATTCTATATGCTAGACTTCTACAGGACTGGTTGCACAGTAGGTTTGTTTACACCAGCATCACCACAAAAACATGAGTAATGTGTTGCCCTAAGACATTACGAATACTAAAGCTTCACTAGGCAACGGGAATTTTTCAGTTCCCTTATAATCTATGGGACCAGCATCATATATGAGGTCTCATGACCTCACTATGCACTATGCAGTACACGACTGTACTACACAAATTAGGGCTATACGCGGCTGTACAAATTTATAGTAGTCCCAAGGTACCAACTCAAGACCTTTGGCTAAATAAAGAAGAATGTCAAAAATGTTTTAAGTCCTATCTCCTTCCCTTGATTCTCCTGCTTATTTCAGTACTGAAAAGAACTTTCTCTGGTTGCTGAGATGTTCAAATGAGTTCATTACTATCAAATCACTTTTAAAAACGTATATGCATTATATAAATTAAAAGGTATTTACTATTAGCATAGTAAAGAAAATATTGCCGCATGGGAGGGGGAGGAGTAAGCCTATGGCAGACATGGGGTTGGCAGAAGGGAAAGAAAGAGGGGGAAGAGACAGAATGTGAACATATGCTTGTCTCCCTAAAAGAAATGTAAATGTATACGTCCATCTCCCTTGCTCCTCATCAGCAAAATGTTGGCATTTGCTGATACACTGGAAGCAGCCTATTTAAGTCAGGAGTTTGACATGCTGTAAGGTCATACACTGCATGTCAGTGTGGGAAACAGAGAGGATCCTCCACAGAGCTGAGAAGATGAAAAACCCTAAATTTTGATCAATTTATTAATAAACACAGAATAGTATTTTCTTCAAATACACGATTAATTTCACTACCAATACTTTATTCGCATGATACACATTATAACTGCTATTCAAGATAGTTGGGGATAGGTACTTTACTATTTAACTGGAAGTTATGACTGCAATACGAGATTTCAACAGAAGGCAGAATTATTTTACACTCCTTCCACATACTTTTATTTTAAGTAGTAAAGCACAGGGCAGCCTGTACCCTAATGTCAGGTTTCCAGCTCGCTGCTAGGAAAAGTCGTCTGGACAAGGGGGAATCCTGTATTATAAATGAAATCCCTTAAGACTAAACAACAGGAGCACATTCTAGCTAAGGACCGCGAATGAGTATCCCGTGTAAAGTGCAAATACTTACTTCTAAGTTAAGTATGCTTGAAATAATTATAAGTAAAATTTGAAGAGTCAACTACCTTTAGTCTGAGGCTAGAGTAGTCACCTAACTCTACCCACCACACACCCCATCAACAACTTCCTTAAATCTTATCCTCAATTCTCACAATAAAATATTTCCAAACTTTCTTTGCTGAATAAAAATGGCGCTGCTTTTCCCATCACAATACTGTTGATTTCTCAGTAACTCTTAGGCTCTTTAACCATCAAACTCGATTGGCCTCATTTAAATGCCACCCTTCCATAGACAGTGCCAGGTGCTTTTTTGAGGGTTGGGCCAGGAGGTAAAGGTGGCTGCTTCTATCAACAAGGTTGCAACTTTCTCAGCTAGAATCCTGGGAATAACTCCCTCTGACTTACCTTCATAACCTCTCTGCCTTCTCGAAACTGTTGCCTCTGTCTCCCTTAAACCACATTCCAACGCAAACTGTCTCCAAAGTGCAGTAGCACTTAAGCCTCTCTGTGCCCCTCGCACCCATCAACACCATCTCTAATGCACCATTCACACCTAGACCGGTGCATCAGCCTCTCCGGTGGTCGCTCAGAGCCACGCTCGGGGCAAGCACCACCACGCAGGCCTCTGCGAAATACAGCCTTCCGCGCCCCGTCTACACCCCAGCCCGTGCGCACCAAGGGCGGCTGCGGGACCCGACCACCGAGTCCCAGCCCCGCTGCGGCGGAGGGCAGGGACCAGCATGCACACCCTCAAGTCTATATGAAGACCCTCCCCGGGGGCTGTCGCCGGCCCCAACGCCTGGCCCACCCCGGCCCTGGCGGCGGATGAGGGTCTGGAGGCGCACGCAGCAGGAGGAGGGAGGAGGCAGCTCGAAGCGAGGGCTCTCCCGTAAAAAAGAAACTTGTCTTCGCCTCCCTTCCAGGGGCGGCGGGAGGAGTGCACCGAGCGACCGGCCCCAATCCCCACAGCTCTCCCAGGCACCCCGCTCAGGCAGTACCGCGGCGGCAAAGGGCGGCGAAGGCGCGATGTCCGACACCCGGGTGCCTCGGCGTACCTACCTGGTGGAGTGGCAGGTGCACTGGGTTGCTGAGGGGCCGCAGGAAGTGGTAAGTCCATGGTGAAGTCCGTGGTACTGATGATACTGGAGGGCGACTGAAAGGCTCAGACTAGCGACTGCTCTCAACTTTGCGCCCTGGCCGCCGCCGGCGCTCGCCGCGAGTGACCGCTCCCCTGCCTCCAACTTCCAGCAACTTCCAACGCCCGCTCCCCACCTGCAGTGCGCTGGCGCCAGACGGTCGCAGGGAACAATCGTGGCGTGGATCGCCGACGCGGGAGCCAATCAGAGAGCGCCGGCCGCACCGCGCCCCTCCCCCCGCCGAGGATCGGAGCGAGGGGAGCGAGCGCGGCGAGGGCGTAGCGTGAGGGCTCCTCGCGGGCGTGGTGGGACGCGTCACCGAGGTAGGAGGTCAGAAGGGCGTCTTTGCCCCCCCCCCCCACCCCTCCGTTTTTTCTCCCTGGAATGTCGCGGCCATCCACCTCTCGCTAGGAGGGACGGCAGACAACCTAGGAGCGCGGGGTGGCCCGAAGAAAATGGGGCAAACTGAAGGACGTCCCAAGCATGGCTGGGGACCTTGGGGAACAAGCTCAGACCTGGGAGGAGGAGGACGGCAAACCAAACCTACCTGAAAAGCCCCTTTGTCTTTGAAACTGCTGTGTAAAAGCCCAAAGTTGAATAATCCCGTGTTCTGACCCTTTCAGCCGCCCTCCAGCCACACCTGGGCCTTCCAGGCGGCGGGAGGTGGGCCTGCGTTGGACATCTGTGGTCGCAGGGAGACCAACTCACGTGTTAAAGTTCAGTTCTTTGGTAGCCAGCCACCCTCACTGAAGGTCCCGACTTCCTCCTGAAAAGGTCAGTTTTTTGTTTTGTTTTAGAGGAAGTCTTGCTCTGTCGCCCAGGCTGGAGTGCAATGGGGAGATCTCCGCTCACTGCAACCTCCGCCTTATGGGTTCAAGCAATAATCTGCCACAGCCTCCCGAGTAGCTGGGATTACAAGCGCCCACCACTATGCCTGGCTAATTTTTATATTTTTAGTAGAGACGGGGTTTCACCATCTTGGCCAGGCTGGTCTTGAACTCCTGACTTCGTGATCCACCCGCCTCGGCCCCCCAAAGTGCTGGGATTACAGGCATGAGCCACTGCGCCTGGCCAAAAAAGGCAGTTTTCTAAGCATCCCTTTACCTGTTGAGCACAGCCACCCTCAGACTTTTGAATTCTCCGTATCCACATACCTTCTGTGTGTTGGGGGAGGGGGTTCCTGTGTGTATCTAATTCATTTGCCCCAAACTTCATAAAAGTAATCCATTTGATCTCTAAAGTTGATGCAAACATCAACTTTGTGCAGCAGATTTTTAGAAGACAATGCCATAGGAGGGTTCCTAACTCTCCTAGAGAGCTCAAGACTTAAGGCTTTGACAGTTTGTAATTTGTATAAAAATACTGTTCACTGAGAGTTTAACTGCATGTTTTAATACTTTTGGTAGAGTACCTCACTTAATGCTCACAATTACAGTGTGAGATAGATACTATTACACACTCTCTTTCAAAGAAATTGAGGCACAGAAAAGTTACGTAATTTGCCTAACAACACACAACTAAGTTGATTGGAATCCAAGAAATCTACCTCCAGAGCTGACCTTACCACTAGGCCTTTGTCTTCCTCACACTTAAACCCATTCCAGAAATTCCCATCAGCTAGCAGTTATACCATTTGCTTTATAACTAGTCTGGAATCTTGAAAAATAAGAAAACACGAATAAGAACACACCCGCTTTGGTAAATGGGCCCGTGGGCTTTAGTTTCTCTGAAAAGGAAGCAGTTGAGCCAATCAGTGCAGCCCCTTCCTGCCTAAAATTGATTGGTCACCGTAATCTTAGTTTGGTAGATTCTCAGCTGAAACTGAATAGAGGATGGAAAGAAGAATAAGAAAAGAAAACCTGGACCTTCATTCAACCTGCGGAAATGTTCCAGTGGGAATCATAATCAATTAGAGAGCAACCCGTTCTGTTCAACTAGTTGCTTATTAAAGAATATTAATCCAAAAATCTAGATTTCTCTATTAATACATTATTAGAAAAAAAATCCTTTCAGTTTGGAAACGTGCAGAGAAAACATACAGGTGGCTGAGCATACAAACTGAAAGAAAAATTGAAATACCATTTTAAAACGATTAAAATGTGTTGGGAACATACTGCAACCTCGAGTAAGCAGCATGGAGATACAATCTCTGCCTGCCACCACGCCCAGCTAACTTTTGTACTTTTTGTAGAACAAATAATGTCACAAAAGGAGTTTCCTTAGGCTGAATTTTTATTTTAGTCAGACATGACAGAACATAGCCTATTATTTGGGCCTACTTCACCTAAAAGCATTAAGAGAGTTTTGCATTTACAGAAATAAACAGGATAACAACTAGTTTTGAACTTTTTCTTATTAAATGTTGAAATATAATGTGGTTAGATTATTTTACTTTTAGCTGTCAGTATCTATTTTGAGCTTTTACAAACTGCACAGTAGGAAAGGATTTCAAAAGTACAAGCAGTAATTAAAGATTTCATGGATGAAAGTTAAGCAAATGAATGCATAACTTATTTGGAGTACAGTATTACTTTGTAGCACATTTAAAATTATTTCTCTGATTGACCATTTTGAAATTTCCAGGCTGGCCAGGCATGGTGGCTCATGCCTGTAATCCCAGCACTTTGGGAGGCTGAGGCAGGTGGATCACGAGGTCAGGAGTTCAAGACCAGCCTGGCCAACATGGTGAAACCCCATCTCTACTAAAAATACGAAAATTAGGTTGGCATGGAAGCACACACCTGTAATCCCAGCTACTTGGGAGGCTGAGGCAGGAGAATCGCTTGAACCTGGGAGGTGGAGGTTGCAGTGATCCAAGATCACACCGTTGCACTCCAGCCTGGGCAACAGGGCAAGACACCATCTCAAAAAAAAAAAAAGAAAAGAAAATTCCAGACACCATTAGACTTTATACTTCGGTACAGTATTTCTCTAATTCTACAAATATTTATATTTTTTTGGTTAGCATCCCCCTGGTAATCAATTAAATGATCCTACATTACTCTGGGACAGAGGCCAGGAACTTGGTCTTACAGCATAAAACTACTCTATTACTCTTTGTGTAAAATACATTCTGCTACTGGTCACTAGATACTTATCTCAGAGAGCTCCTAAAATTGTTCCCTTTGGAATTGCTTGACTGTCATTGAGAAATAAAAGAAAAAATCAACTCACATATATCTGATACAACCCAACAAGACTGCGTCTCCGTGGGGATCCAGGACCACCTTTATTAGAATCACTCAGGATGCTTATTTAGAACCCAGATTCCTGGACAATAGTCAGCACATAAAATAATCAGAATGTTCTATGTCAGAGCCCTAGAATCTGCCTTTTATCAGTGTTCATGGGCAATTCCTAAGTACAAGCTGAAGTTCAGGTACCATTGCCCTGGGCCTTTAATAGCTCTCATTTTGTTAAGAACTTCATTATAATTAAACAAATGCAAAAATAATTCACATATGCTGATTCTTATACCAGAACAAGTAATTTAACTAGATTTTATTGTGTTTCTAATTTACAAATAATAAATCATAACCCTTTTCCTATGCTAAAATGTTAAGTAAATTAACATTAAATTAGTACTAGTAACTATGACAACTAATATTACTAGACCCATTTTGTCATTGAAGTAAAATAAAAATCAAATGCCCAGCATCCTTATTGATTATATATGTGTAATAAATATATAAATACTCCTCTATATTTCTGAGTAACTATGGTTTCTTACAAACCATAGTTTGTAAGATCTGTGTAGATCTATGTAGACCTGTGTCCTGATCAGCACAGATCAAGCCAACAGAAAGTTATTTGCCCCACTACCTCAGAAAAAACAGGTGGAATGCTTTAAACACCTGGCATTCGAAATTGTATTGTGTATTTGTGTCTGTTTGCTGATTTGCTGTCTGCATCCCAACCCATAGAGTGAGAACTGTATGAGTGCAGGGGCTCTGTCCACCACTGAAGCACCAACACCTAGAACAGTGCCTGGTGGGTACAGGTGCTCAGCAGATATTTATTGAATAAACAAAAAGGAAGGCAACAGTTCCACATCAAGACAGTGCCTAATATAAAAAGTTTCACTGTAAATCATCAATAAATCTTTGAAACCACAATGTTTATTTTCAATGGTCATTTAATTGTGTCAGTTTGTTTTATTAGCCAAAGTTTGCAGTATCAGATTGCCTCTTTTATACCATTTGGTGCCTGGAAAATATGCAACACAGGCTTTTCTTTCTTTCTCGCCCCTAACATTTCTGAGGGCTGGGGGGAGGCAGGAAGTGAACAATGTCCACGAGTCTTCACTGCCATATTGCTCTCATAGCTCAAAGTCTACGTTAGAATCATCACATCCTTCCTGAAATATGTTGCCAGCCTGTCCTTTGAAGCAGAGCCCTGATAACTTTGTTTCAAAGAGTGTCTAATGCAATAGACATTTATTTAAGATCGCTTATGTGCTAATAATGGAGACATTCAACACAGTGCCCAATTCCCTGTATTTAAACTTATCTTTTGGTCACCTTTACAACAAAACATTTCTATTGTTTTTTTCTTATGCTTCTTTCCCCAATAAACTGGAAAAACTCAGAAAGAAAATTTAAAATATTTTAAGATTGCAAAAGTATAGTTAATCTTTTGAAAATGTGCAATGTCAAGCAATGTATTTACAAACCAATGCTGACATTTTAAAAACAGATAAAATTTAATAAATTTATTTTATTGTTTTATCTCTAAGATCTCATAAGTTATTTATATTTCAAATGTCAGACACATTCAGCAGATTCTTCCAAAGCAGAAGCAAAATGAGCTTTTAACTTAATGAGTACCATGGTTACACATTTATCATATTTCTGCACAAGTATCAACGTTGTTTATTATTTCTTCAGTTTTACTCAAATATATGATAAAGTCAATAGTCCATTACACACGCACAGCATTTTTGCACATGGAAAAATTATGCATACTATACAGATACAAATAAACTGAGTAAGAATGACAAGTGTAGAAAGAAGGAAATATGCAGCCTTTTCAATCTTTTATTTGTAAAAAACATGGTCACTGTTTTCCTAATTGATAATTCTTAATGTATATGACATGGCTAGACATCAGAAGAAAAATGACAGATATAAATAAGAGATGTCAACAAATACAATTTTTCTATTGCCGTTAACAGCCTCTGCCCCACTATGAGCTTGCAGGGCCCTGGCTGTCCCTGCAACACACCGTCATGGTCTCTGCCTTCTCCAACTCTGCAGAAACTGACCCAGCACCCTTGCTAGTCTATCCAGCGAAGATGCTCTCACTTACCTGAGCTCATGGATGGAGGAGAGGAGCCTCCACCTCCTCAGTTCACAGAGTCATTTTCATCTTGGTTCCATTGCTGCCTCTTAATCACCTTTTTGCCAATTACACTGCACTCTCTTCTTTCTCTTCAGTTCATCTGCCTGGACTTAGCTCTCAGGGAAGATAAAGGTCGAGGCAAGAGTGATGGCTGATTCAGAAAGATAAATATTCCTCGAGAATACCTGCATGAGCACAGGAATGAGTTGAAGGAGTCTATGCAAATATTTTCTTTTCAACATAATAATTAAATTTAAGTATTACGTGTTCTCACTCATATGCAGGAACTCAGAAAGTAAATCTCATGGAGACAGAGAGTAAAATGTGGTTACCAGAGTTTGGGAAGGGAAGAGGGGATGAAGAGAAGTTGGTTAAGGGACACAAAATTACAGAAGGAATAAGTTTTAGTATTCAGTAGTACAGTAGGGAAATTATAGTTAATAATTTATTTTGTATTTCAAAATAGCTAGAAAAGAAGAATTGTAATATTAATATTCCACACACAGGCCGGGCACGGTGGCTCAAGCCTGTAATCCCAGCACTTTGGGAGGCCGAGACGGGCGGATCACTAGGTCAGGAGATCGAGACCATCCTGGCTGACACGGTGAAACCCCGTCTCTACTAAAAAATACAAAAAAAAACTAGCCGGGTGAGGTGGCGGGCGCCTGTAGTCCCAGCTACTCAGGAGGCTGAGACAGGAGAATGGCCCGAACCCGGGAGGCGGAGCTTGCAGTGAGCTGAGATCCGGCCACTGCACTCCAGCCTGGGCGACAGAGCGAGACTCCGTCTCAAAAAAAAAAAAAAAAAAAAAAAAAAAAATATTCCACACACAAAAGATAAATGTTTGAGGTGATGGATATTCCAGTTACCCTGATTTCTTCATTATACCTCCTATACAGCTATCAAAATATCACATGTACCCCCAAAATATGTACAGACATTTTATAATAAAATCTTTTCAAAAAAATTAAATTTAGGTGTTATAAATTTGAGTCTATCCACTGATTCTTAAGAAACTACATAAATTTAGTAGCTATATAGTTAAATAATATTTTACTAAATTTTCTACAACTACTTCTATTTTAATGGCAGTGATTTAAGAGTTAGAAATAGTAACCAAAACTCTTATGACTCATATCTGCATTCCACCATACTATCTACTCTAAACATCATATACTGAGAAAGAATACCATCTATCTGAAAGTGTATTACTAGCAATTCATAATCCTTAAGAAGGCAGATATTCGTTAAGAACCATAAAGTCTTTCTCTCTCTGGAGGATAGTTGAGTTTCATCTCTCTTAGACCAGTGTTGATTACTTTTATAACAATTTTATTGCCAGAGAGATGGCTCCATCTTCTTTAATATTTGAAGTGAAAAATGATCACCAGTGAAATGAACAATTATGTAAATGTGCTCATAACCTGCAAAAGAATTTTTTTCTAAATTCCTCTTACAGCTTTCAAAAAATGAAAGTGTAAGCAATATTATCTGCTAAATTATCTCATTTTTTTGCTTCCTACTATGTCATATGGTAAAAACGTGACTAATGGTATTAATAAACAACATCTGTTTAGATAAACTTTATACCTGAAGCAATGTTGTTGTATATACACTGCATGTACTA